CCCAGGACGCGCCTTACCCAAAGGCCTCACTCACTGTGGGTCAGAGGCCAGGTAGCCCACTGGCACATGACACTGGTCACAGACACTGTCAGTTGGCAGGGATGGACACAAAGGTTTGGCTGGAGCAGCATTACCATGGTTCCAGCTCTGCCTCTCCCAGTCAGAGCACAGGGCATGAGAAATTGCCCTCTCAGCCCAGGGCTCGTGAGCAGGACGTATGGAGAAGGGGAATGAGCTGCTCCCTCGGGGGGGAATTCCTCCAGGGAGGTGAGGCAGCGTCGTGCAGCCCCACTCCCTGTGCAGACCCCTCACTCACCCAGACAGGTAGATGTGAGCCCTCCTGCTGCTCAGCAGCTCCCACACCAGCCGTCGGTTCTCCCGGATGCGGTGCTGAACGTAAACCTTCTCCTCCTGCAGGGGAACACGGCGCTGAGCCCGCCAGCCCTGGCAGCAGCCCCAGCCCCAGCTCCACGACAGGCCCTGGGGATGGTTCTCAGAGGCTGTTTGCAGAGCTCAGGGCAGCACAGCCAATGGATCAACTACTGCCTGGGAAAGGGGATCCCCACCCCTCCTGTGAGCACGCTGGGGTGGGCTGGTGCGGGATGGGTGCTGCAGCAGGAGCTTTAGTGGCAAACACACAAGTAGCCCCCCCCCCCATATTTTTTGGCTGCCCCCTCCTGCTCCAGATCCAGGCAGGACCATGAGCTGGGGAGTCTCTGTGAGGACTGCTCTCCTGCCCTCTCCTCTCCCAGCAGCAGAGGTGGCTCTGTGCCCCTCCCTGTGCCAAGGCTGCTTCACCCCCCTGGCTGCCCAGCGGGAGACCTGGAACACCCTGGAAGGGCAGAAGGCTTGAAGGGTCAAGCCTCAAGCTCTGCTCAGGGACGGGATACAAACAGCTCTTGCCACAGCACAGCCCAGCTGAGGAGAGCTCCCAAAGGGTTAATCCACAAGCAACTGCCTACAGCCCTGGCTTCGGCCCAAGAAGAACACCACGGCCAACGTGCCTGAATTCACTGCCGGCCCAGACGGCTCCTCTGTGACAAAGGTGACACTGTGACAGAGGCCAGGCCCTCTGCGGCGCGTCCCCCAGGCCAGGCTC